TCTACACCTTCCTCCTTCCATCCACCCGCCCATCTACACCTTCCTCCTTCCATCCATCCACACACGCATCCATTCTTCCAATCATCCGTCTGGCCATGCCCTTGTCCATCAGGTACCCATCCACCGAAGTGAATGTCCCCAGGAAGACAAGAGGGTCAAGCTTCCCTAGGGCAACATGGAGAGGCCTGAACGTGAGACACAGCAGACGTGGGCTCCAAGGCCAGCTCGGCTTGGTCTCAGTAGCTGTGCGACCCTAGAAAACACCGCCTCTTCTGCAGGCCTCAAATCCGCAGTCTGCAAATTAAAGGCCTGGCTTCACAGTCTCTCGGTTCGGGATCTCTGGCCCTCCCAGTTCCCTGGGTGTGGAGAATGGGTGAACAAACGTCCCTCCCTGACAAACCGTGGGGAGGGCCCCTTGCAGGTGGGAGCAGGACACTCTATGCAGAGGCGACTTCACAGACACCTCGTCCCTCCCTGACACTCCCTGGTGAGTCCCCCTGGGGGCAGGAGCAGGACAGTCTACACAGGGGTGACTTCATGGCCGCCTCCTGGGCCTGAGCCCTGCCCACCTCCTCTGCAGTGTGGAGGGTGCCTGCTCTGCCAGGACCAAGCCCACAGGCTCACTGGGAATGCAGCAGGGCGTCCACGGCACAGGTGGCTGGTCCAGTTGCCACCGCCCTCCTTTCCTCCTCCTCCTTCTCCTCCTCCTCTTCCTCACTGTCCCATCGTCCTCCTGCCGTCCCAGGCATCAGCGCTGCTTCTGACCAGGTGGTCCCAGGGTGCTCAGGAGGGGTCATCTTGCTGGCTGGCTGCTTTCCTCTTGAAACGAGGCCCTCTGCGTGGTGTGGCCCTGAGTTTCTGGCGAGTCCGCCTAGCCCATCAGCAGAGCCTCCACCTTCTGCCTCCTGGAGGCCCCTGGGCCTAGCTGCCCTCAACGGCTAGAGGTGGCGGGCCAAGGGCCAAGGTCAAACAGCCCAGAGCTGGTGCCAGGAGACCCAGCCCCAGCCCTGCCTCTGACACCATCCTGCAGATGACCTTGGCACAGCTTCTCCAGGTCTTGTCTCCCGGCCTGGCGTTCACCAGCTGTCACCAGGGGCCAACCCTTAGTGACCCTGACCTGAGTCTGATGGCCCCCGACAGAAACAGGGAGGCCCGAAGTAGGCCCAGCCTCGCCGTTACCACACACTCCCCTGGCGGCGGTGCCCGGACTGGGCCCCGTTAGGGAAGCTCAAGGCGGCCCTAGCCTTTCCCCTCATTCTCCACCCAGTCAGGCCCTTGCGTGGTTCCAGTCAGGACCTCTTTCCCTCTTGCACCCCGAGGCAACTGAGGACCCTCTGCGGGCACAGCCGTGATATCCCAGCGTCCTGGGGATGTGGCTCCTCTCTCATCACACCTGCCTGTGATGTCCTGGGCTCGTCAGACTCTCCCGGACCCTGGCCTCACACACTCCACCATCCCGTCTGCCAGTACTGCCCCTGCTTCGCCGTCAAGAGTATGTGCTCTCCTGGCCCCAGCTGGCCCAGGGCCTTCTGCGCTCCCACGGTGGCCCATGCCACCCTCACCTTGCTGGACTTAGTGTCCAGCCTGCCTGGCCCCTGGGACTCCTTGAGGAACAGGTTCTGGTCATCTCTGCCTGTCAGGGCCAGTGGGGAGCACCAGCCCACAATGGGGACAGAGACGGTGAGGGGAAGACAGTGGCTGGGCCTCCATCTCAGCTGGGCCACAGTCGCCAGCCAGCCTGATCTCTCAGGTCCTCCTGTGGTGACCACAAGTCAGCAACAAGGCCCAGTGAGTGGCTGGTCCTCAAGGCAGCTCCAAGTCCCACTTCAAGAAAATAAAGGCCTGAGCTTTCTTGTTCTCTCTGAGCCACTGACATGCCCCAACCACAAAGTCCCCTCCACAGTCCCCGGCCCCAGGATGGACACTGAGCCGCATGCCAGCATCAGCACGGGAGGTGGAGCGGGAAGGCCCCAAAGGCCCTCCCCCCGGCTGCACCCGGGATTCATGGGAGAGGGCGGCGTGGTGCACACAAGAGAAGAGACGGTGCCGACTGCTGTGGGCACCACGCAGACCACTGCTGCCGCAACCCCGCCACTCCCAGAGCCCCCAGGGCACAGGTAGTGGACTGGTTCATAGGAGGCCTGTGGGCAGGCCTCTCCCAGGCACAGGGCAGGGCCTGGGCCCCTCCAGACAGACAGAGGGAGGGTTGGAGGACAGGGGACGGAGGCCGGGCCGGCCGGGCACTGTGGCCCTCACACGGACTTACTTGGTGCCGGCTGGCTCCAGCCAGGAGCTGGCGGGCTGCCTCCGCATGCGAGGACGCAGCCTCAAGGCTGGCTTCAATACTATCTGCAAATCAAGACAACAGAAGGCAATTACAGATGGAGGCCCAGCCGCCCCTGCCCTGAGGGCACCCCACAAAGGCGAGCCCAGGGGAGCCTGAGCCCAGGGCCTCCAGGGGAGCGGACGCTGCAGGGATGGGTGCTGGGCTGCCAGACATGCCCTGAGGGCGCTGCGTGCTGTGGGCAGTGAGTAGCAATGACATTCGAACGGAAACCTGGAGGTGGCCCAGGGAAGGGGACTCCTCAGTGCCCACACCGGGTGGGGCAGGAAGAGCCCACCCCGGAAAGGGTGGGAGTGGCAAGGGGAGGTCAGGGCTGGGGTCAAGTCCTGCTCTGTCATGACCCTGACTGGGCAGGCCCCTCCACTGTGGCCACGGCCCTCTCTGAAGGGGCAGAGCCCCTGCCTTAATGTCTGTGGAGCTGTGACTGGGCTGATGGAGACTGGGTCTGCAAGCACAGGGCTCTGGTTGGCCACACACACTGGCCCTTGACTCAGCTCAGGGAGCTGATCAGAAAGTTGTGCCACCGTGCGGGGCTCACAGGAGCCGGCGCAAAGCCGAGCTAGGGCTGCAGCAGTGCCACCCAGGGCAACCACATTAGCAGGGCCCACAGGAGACACAAGACCAGGACCGGGGCAGCCCCAGGGATCCGGAAGATTCCACACCACCCCGCCAGCAGCAAAATGGCAGTACCAGGTGCTACACGCACCTAAGCCGTCCTTGCCCCACAAGGAATGCAGGGCTGGCTGTGGGCTCGCGGCAGTGAGCGGCGAAGGCATCGCCCCCCGCAGGAGCAGGGCCTGAACACAGGTGCTCAACCTGGGCAGCCCCTGGTGCTCAGCATTCTCTTCCACCCAAGGGAAGGACACGTGCCACCTGGGCACCAGGACTGCGGGTGCAGCCCGGGTCTGCAACAGAGCCAGATGCAAACACAAGCACGGGCAAGCCTTCTTCCCGGGGGGAGGTTCCCTGCAAGGCCTGCCTCCAATGAGGCAACTGGAGAAGAGCCTGGGAGGCAGGACACCTAAAGAAACTGTGCACCTGCAATGCCCACCTGGGCACGGGCCTGAGCTGACTGAGCCTTAGAAGTCTTAAGGCCTGGGATAGAGGAGCCGTTACAACCACAGGGACTGCTGCCAGGCACAGCATCGCCTCCGGCCTGGCAGGACTGGTTCTGAGGGAGGAGGGTCCTCAGAAAGACAAGGCCACTGTCCACCGTCCCTACTTTCATCACGGAACTGTGGCTCCATCTCTGCAAGCCCCCCGGGCAGGAGGTAGAAGCCACGAACTCTGCCTTCAGAAGCCCCCACCCAGGCCTCACAGGGATCCTTGATCCCTTGGTCACCAGCTCCACCCCAGCCTGGCCCCCAGCCCAGGGCCCTAGTGGAGCCGCAGGCACTCACAGACATGCCCTGAGCGCCGCATCGGGGGGCTCCTGCCCCAGCCAGGGAGGGGAGAGCCAGGCTCCTGCACAGGAGCCAAAGCCCGGAGAGGGCGGGTATGGGTGATGCCCTCAGCCACTCCTGGAGCAGAGCACCCCTTTGCTCACATGCAAACAGCCCCCAAATGAAATCGGCTCTCTATGTCCTGCCACATTAGGGTCACGACCCTCTCGGCCAATGGAGGAGGAGAGGGAAGGAAGATGGGGCCAGAGGTGGGACAGATCCCCCTACAACTGCCACCCAGGAGGGACCAGCCTGCCAGGGAGGAGGCGCTAGCCTGGGCCCGGGCAATGCCCTGTTCACATGCAAAGGATCCACTTTACACCTGCAGGGGCAACAGCCTGGCCTCGCTTCTGTCGCTGACAGGTGAATGTGGACACTGGAGAGCATTTGCCAGCAGAGACAGGAAGGCCATGGTGGTCTGGGCTAACACAGCTGGTGCTGGACAGGCCACGTGCCCTGGCTGGACACTTTCTCTGCCCCGTGACCACAGGCAGCCTCAGCCAAGCCCTGGACCCCACCCTTGGACTCAGCCGGTGCCCAATCCTGCTCTACACCAAGCCCTGGCCCTGGGGACTCTGATCGTAGTATGTGACCTGCTCCAGGGCTGCATGTGCGGGCCACAGACCCAGGGCGGTCCAAGGAGCATTCTTAGCCAGCGTGGCACTGCCCACATTCAAGACACATCACACAACCACTGCCCAGCTCCGCAGCCAGCAAACATCTCCCTTAGCGCCCAGGCTGCCAGGTGGGCACGCCATGTCCCGCCCCAGGGTGGTGTGCAGAGATGCACAAGGGGAGGGAGGCTGCTCCTGTGCTCCTGGCGCTGTGCAGCCCTGTGTTGCTTGTGGGGTGAGGACAGGTTCGGTGCGTGGGCCCTGTGGTACTGAGCAACACTCCAATACTTCATCGGCCATCAGCCCTGGGCCTGGTGGCTTTGCCAGGTCTTGGGAGACTCCCGGTCTGTGGGGTCAGCCCTGCAGAGCCACAGGCCCTGGGCACCTGCCCCTCCCAACACAGGGGGTGCTCCACGGGGGCCCCTTGCAGATCTCCGAGATCCAAAAGTCCAAGGGATACCCAAGCACTAGACCAGGCCTCCAGGGGCCAAAGAGAGCAGCCTTTGGTGCCGCCCTTCCCAGACGCTCGCAGAGCAGGACACACACCTCAAAGGAAACTGCCTGCCCAGCGGCCTCAGGGCACAGGGACCCCTGTGGAAGACCCCCATGCACTGTGTCAAATCGCTGCCCCCAGCCCCACAGCCGTGATCAGCCCTGCAGGCCTGGCCCTGCCCAAGCCCCAGGCAGTGCTGCTGCAGAGCGGAAAGCATGGCCAGCTCAGGACACCTGGGCCTGCAGCTGGGATGCCCCTATCCTGCCATCAGGCTTGGCAGCCACTTCCCTCTTCCTGCCTCGGCGCCCACAAGGGGAAGTCCAGCCCTGTCCCAAGCACTCTCTCGCTCAGGAATTCAACACATGTCAGTTGTTGTCAGCAGCAGGGCAGGTCACTCAGAGCAGCCCACAGGCACCAAAGACTCCCCTGATGGAGGTGAGCCCAGCGTCCAGCGGACCTGGAGTGGCTGATCCATCAGGGGTCACAGAAGTTGAGGCTGGGCCTCAGTCTAGGGCAGGGAACCACAGGGTGAGCAAACCTGAGTTCCTGCAGCCTCCAGGGCTGAGGACTTGCAGAAAAGAACTAAGCACCCGGGCCACACCAGTGCTACCCCTGCTAGGCCCTTCCTTCTCAGTCCCATACCACATGTCCACCCTTGCTGTGACGCACCCCCAAACCAGGTCTGCCTCTGCCCATAGAATCCTGGGCTGCAAGAACCTGCCCTGCAGGACACAATGTGGCCTCCCTGGGGGTGGATGCAGCCACCCTTGGCCTGCACAGGCCTGAGAGGAGGACCCAGGTCCTTCTCCAACCCCACCCCATCATGAGGCCCACTGACCAGGCCCATCCCCCAAGCCCCATCACAAGGCCCACAGCCCAGGCCCCTAGTCCAAGGCCGGCCACAGGGTTGGTGGCACCCTGGGTCTACATGCATCTCCCAACCAGCCCGGCCCACTCTGCCCATGGGTGTCCCAACCTCAGGCACCGCTGTGAGTAGGAGCAGCTGAGATGCCCCAGAACTCCAAGTTCTACCATGGCTGCCAGTGGGGGCATTTGAGGCCAGCCCCTGCCTGTCCAGTGAGGCTGAGTCCTTCTGTCTACTCTGTGGCCCTCAAGAAGGAGCTGGTCCTGCTTCCAGGGCTTCGTCCCCCAAGTCCTTCCAGCAGCTCCCAGGAAGGGGAGAGTCCAGCGCGGCTCTGCTTTGAAGGCTGGGCCACCATATGCGGAGGACGGCGAAGGAACTCCTGGCGCGGTGTCTTGAGGAGGAGAGGAGGTGCGGCGGGAGGAGGCACGGAGGCAGCAGGAGGAGGCACAGAGCCAGCATCACCCTCGGAGCCAGCGTCACCCTCAGAGCCAGGGGCAGCTGGGGGCTGCAGACAAGGCCCAGCTAGACAGAAATGCCTGGCTTCCGGTGGTCCCTGGAGTGGGCCCGTGGGCTCAGAAGGGGGCACAGCGTGTCCTGAGAGGCTGAGAGTCACTGGATAGCACCGCACGTGGGGCTTCCACGTGGGCCCAGAGGTAAGGGCCTGCAGGAGGGGGAGGCCACTGCAGGCCAGAGCGAGGCACAGCATGGGGGAGAGGGTGGGGGAGAGTCAAGCTGGGGCCCAGGCTCCTCCCTGGCTCTGCCCAAACTCCTCAACAGTGACCAATGAATGGACAGGTCACCTCCTGCTCCCTGGGGGTTGTGGCAAGGGCCAATCGGCTGGAGGTGCATACGGGCAAACGATCCTCCTGCCTGCTGACTGACCTTGCCTTCTCATGGCAGCCATACCCTGGGGCTCCGGGGCTGGGGGAGAGTGGAGGGAAGCCCTTCTTCCCAGACACCCCTGTCTTCAGACCCTGGGGCCAGCCGGGCCCTGCTGCTCTGCACGGGAAAGTGGGGCCTTCTCCCTGCTGGGACCCACTGCTTTGGAAGACCTGGCTGCCTAAGGACAGCTGTGCCCACTGCTGGACTGCATTCGGGAGGGGAGGGCTGCCTGTGGAGAAGAAGGCCAGGCTGGGACCCAGGGCCAAACAGGCCTCCTGGCCACACGACATCAGGCAGGAATGGCAGAGGCCAAGATGGGGGCCTTGGAGGGCACCAGGGCACCCAGGGCTGCACCCGCTGCTGCTGCTCATCGGGGAGCTCTGCCCTCGTCTCTGTCCCCACCAGGCACTGGTCCCAGCGGCCACCTTGTGACCCCTCCCCATGGTAGTGCTCACCACTCAACAGTGACGTAGAACTAGGCCCCAGCGTCCCATCTGGACACCCGGTGGGCGTGGCTCGAGGTGGCGCCTATGGTTGAGCCCCTTGGCGGCACATGCTTGGCAATGCCGGGAGGACCCTGAGCTGGGACCCCAGGCGTGAGCCGCAGCCCTTCCACTCCAGAGACAGGCAGAACCCCCCCGGCCCCAGCCCGTGGTTTCCCCACCTAAAAGAAGAGAGGCCAGGAGGGTGGTGGGCCATCTCCATGGGCCTCCGGGTCTCCCTCGGAGGGTCTCCCTCTTGGGAGCTGGTGCAGAGAGCTCACAGCCCACTTGCCGGCCCTGCTTGCCCCAGGGCAGGGTGGTCCCGGGGAGGCGGGCTGTAGGGAGGGCCCACTTACTTGGCAGGGGCTCCATGGCTTGGCCCTCGCCCTGGGGACCGTGGGCAGAAAACGTCTCGGCCACCATGTGCTCCACCGGCGTGAGGATGAGGCCGGGGGCGGCGCCCCCCTCTGCCAGCTTCTTGCGCACAGCGCCTCGCAGGTCCCGCCACTTGTGCTTGAGGTCACCCAGGTCGCGACGGCAGTAGCCCAGCGCATTCACTGCCTGCAGGATGCGGCTCCACACGCGGTGCTTTCGGGCAGGCGTGCCCCGCAGTGCCCCAAACAGCAGCGGGTAGTGGCGCCTCACCCTCTGCACCAGCACCTCCGTCTCTTGGGGGCTGAAGTTGGGCTTGCGTGTCTTGGTGCGGGAGTGGGGGCCTGGCCGCAGGGGCGTGGAGCCCGGCCCGGCACCTGGCAGCAGGGCCACCGTGGCCGGCTCGGGGCTGCAGCTCTGCCGGCACATAGCTTTGCTGCTGCTGGACCCTGGAAAGGCACCAGAGGCTGAGCAGGGGGCAGAGACCTTGGGGAGAGCAGCCAGGTTCGGGGTCACAGGTCATCTGTGCATCTGTGCACAGTCGGCACCCAGCATAGGCAGCCTGCATCCACTGTACTGGGCCCCTTGTGTCTCAGCCGCTCTCTAGGCCTCCCGCCTGTCCACCCGACAGGTGCCCTCTGGCCTCCCTGGGGCCCTGACCACGTGTGGTGGGTCAGCCCTGGTTTGTCCCTCTCCCCACGACTGCTCCCTTCCCTGAACTGCTGGCATGAGTGCCCCCTCAATGAACCCGTCACTGGGACTGGGTGGGCACCTGGAGTGGACAAAGCACTCCACACGCTCAGCATATCCCAGCCTGCGACAGCTGGCCAGGGGCAGAAGCGGCTACAGCCACCTCGGGAAGCTGACAGTGGGGAGAAGGCAGGAGGGCAGGGAGACAGGAGGGTCCTGGGGAGAGGAAGCAGTAAGGGACTGATAGGGCAGCCCAGCAGGCGCCATATGGGGCCACGGAGCAGCTGGAAGCCCAGGCTCCGAGGGGATGGAGGGGCGAGCCTGGCCCAGCCCCATCCCAGGGAGCAGCAGGGTGCTTGAGCCTCAGTCCCTCTTTTCCTGGGGACACAGCACAGCACCCGGGAAGAGGACGCCAGCTGCGTGAGGGTCTCCGGACACAGTGCCAGTTGTCAGAGCAGGAGGGACCGGGAGGCTGGTCTCGGCACAGGCCCCAAGGTGAGGCCACAGCTTGGCCAGGGCACAGAGGGAGAGTAGGTGGGTGGGGCGGAGCCCGAGAGTCCTGGTGGGCAGCCAAATGCTTTAACCAAAGGCCTGTGGGCACCAGGGGCGGCCTGTGGGCACCAGGGGTAGCCTGGCTCTTCCTCAACTGAGGAAGAGAGATACCCAGCCAGAGCCGGGGGCCCCTGCCCTGCCAGCCTGGGAGCCAGGGCTCCTGGCAGCAGCAGGTCTGGACAGGGCGGGATTAATGGGTCAGAGCCCTCGAGTGGGAGCGGGGAAGACACCAAAACACAGCAGGGATGGGGTCCCTATGGGAGGGGGGCAAGGTCAGCATCCCCTCGAAGGCCCTGCCACGGTTCTGGCCGGGAGGTGTCCTGGCTTGTGGTGCATCCCATCTTCTCGTAGATGCAGGGAGTTCAGGACACCATGCCCTGGCCGGGCCTGCACGTTCCCACGCCGCTCTCCCCACACCCTTCCCAGCACGGGCACATCCACAGCAGAACCACAGCTCTGGCCTCCACATCTCTGCAATCTCACAACCCTACCCACCCCAGAACAGCCTCACTGTGGGGAGTCTCTGGGCAGAGGCCCAGGACGAAGGCGTGGAGGCCAGTATCTGTTAACGAGCGGAGCAGGGGCCAGCGTCTGTCAATGATCACTATGGGGCCAGTGTCTGTCAATGAGCAAGGGGAGAGCTAATGTCTACGCATGAGCGAAGCAGGGACCAGTGTCTGTCACTGAGCAGAGCAGGGACCAGTGTCTGTCAATGAGAAGAGGCGGGGTCAGTATCTGTCAATGAGAAGAGGTGGGGTCAGTGTCTGTCAATGAGAAGAGGTGGGGCCAGTGTCTGTCAATAAGCAAAGCGGGGGCCAGTGTCTGTCAATGAGCGGGGTGGGGGCCAGTGTCTGTCAGTGAGCAGAGATGGGGCCAGTGTCTGTCAATGAGAAGAGAGGAGGCCAGTGTCTGTCAATAAGCAGAGGCGGGACCAGTGTCTGTCAATGAGCAGAGGGGAGGCCACTGTCTGTCAATAAGCAGAGGCGGGACCAGTGCCTGTCAACGAGCAGAGGCGGAGCCAATGTCTGTTAACGAGCAAAGGTGGGACTAGCGTCTGTCAATGAGCAGAGCCAGGGCTAGTGTCCGTCAACGAGCAGAGGCGGGGACAGTGTCAATGAGCAGAGGGGCTGTCTCTTATACACATCTAGATGTGTATAAGAGACAGGCCAGGGCTAGTGTCCGTCAACGAGCAGAGGCGGGGACAGTGTCAATGAGCAGAGGTGGGGCCACTGTCTGTCAGGGAGGGGAGCAGGGACCAGTGTCTGTCAATGAGCCGGGCGGCGGGGGTGCAGTGTCTGTCAATAAGCAGAGTATGGAGCCAGTGTCTGTCGATGAGCAGGGTGAAGGCGAGTGTCTGTCAATGAGTGGAGACCAGTGTCTGCCAATGAGCAGAGGCGGGGTCAGTGTCTGTCAATGAGTAGAGCAGGGCCAGTGTCTGTCAATGAGCAGAGTGGGTGGGCCACCCTGTGTGGGCCTCCCCCTGCTCTTAGCCTTCCTGAGGGGCTGGAGGAGACAGGGCGGGTGGGGAGGGAGCAGAAGCTCAGACCTGGACTCCAACCTGGGCCTGGCTCCTCTTAGAGGCTGCTCCACCCACCCTTAGGTGAAGGGGTGAGGACTGGGGGCTGGCAGGCAGGCCCTCGGGGCAGCAGGTGGCCCGAGGCTGGGGCGAGTACCCACCGACAGCTTCTCCTTGCTCTGACACCATGGAGGCCAAGTCCTTGATGATCTGATTCACATCCAGCAAGTTGCTCTGTGGAAACAAGACAGCCACGTCAGGAGCAGGGCTGTGGGGCAGACACCAAGGGCACCTGAAAGTTCCCATGGAGCCTGGGGCGGACCCGGGCGGCACCTGCAGAACAAGGAACCAGAGAACAGCCGGGGACCAGCTGGTCTGTCCAATTCCTGTGAGAGAAGGCATGACTGGGCCCAGAAAGGGCAGGGGCAAGCCCAGGGTCACCCCAAAAGCCAGAGACAGGGCAGGGATCTGAGTGCTCCATCTCCTGACTCTTGAGGCCAAACCCCAAGCTCTCCAGGTGCCCCAGGGGCTGTGAGCTGCTTCCCTGGGTCTCAGGGCCTGTCTCCAGGATGTGCAGTCTAGCGAAGGATGGCATCCCAGCACCATAAAGGCCTGACCGCAGGACAGCAGAGAATGTCTAGGGCAGGTACGCCATCCCCACTTGCCTGAGGGCTCCTGGACAGAAAGTCTGCCTTTCCCTCTCTGTGTAGCAGCACTGAGCATGGGCCAGCACACAGGCACTGCTCAGCAAATCCTAAAGAAGTGGCATAGATGGACGAACAGGTTCAGAGAAGTGGACAAATGGGTGGATAGGTAGATGGAAGGATGACAGACAGATGGGTGAATAGGAGGGTGGACAAATGGAATGGTGGATGGGTGGGTGGATGAATAGATGGGTGGGTAGATGGATGGGTGGGGGGGTGGATGGATGGGTAGGTAGGTGGATAGGTGGTTGGATAGATGGGTGGGTGGGTGTGTGTGTGTGTGTATGGATGGATGGATGGATGGATGGATGGATGGATGGATGGATGGATGGATGGATGGATGGGTGGATGGATGGATAGATGAAGGGGTTGAGGGGTGGGTAGGTGGATGGATGGGTGGATGGGTGGATGGATGGGTGGATGGGTGCATGGGTGGGTAGATGGGTGGATAGGCGGGTGGGTGGGTAGATGATGGATGGATGAGGGATAGATGGATGATGGGTGGATAGATGAGTGGGCAAATGGATGGAAGAGTGAATGCACAATATGTGGACGGACGATGGACAGGTGGGTGGGTGGGTAAGTAGGTCAATGAGCTGCTAGGTGGATGGTTGCTCCACTGCTATCCAAGGACTGAGTGGCTCCACGAAACTAGTGAACAGAGTAAGGAACAGAAACTTGGGCCAGGAGGACTCTGGGGTATCCCTCCATCCCAGCATACTGTGCTGGCCTCTTCCATCTTCCATACTGTCTACCTTCACCCTAACTCCTTTTGCCCAGTAAAGTGGCCCTGATGATCCTAAGGGATGTGGTCACGCCACTCTCAGAGCACACACTGGGGCTGTGCTTCAGGCAGGGCACATACCATCCCTTCACACCTGGCACCCACCCAGGGGCATCCTAGCATCCATCTAACAGAGCAGGGAGTGGGGGCTCAAGTGGTCCCATGGCCTCCAGGGCCTCTCAGAAAGGGGAAGAGTTGGGACTCAGATCCCTGCTCACCGACCAGATGCCCACTCCTTCCCTGACTGCCACGCTGCACCTAGGATGGCTCCTCAGTTGGCCTGATGCATGGCCCTGGGCAAGCCTGGTCACCTCAAGCCAGGTTTGCTCACTTAACACCTGAACAAAACCAACCCTCCTCACACAATGCCTGGCACATGGCTGGATTCCAGCCAAGTCCCGGGGAAGCTCCTTCAGGCCTGCTGTGACCCGTGCCCTGGCACACCCATCCAGTCAGCAGCTCATTCCAGAGCTGGGATTGATTTCCATGAGGGTCATTTCACCCCACTGCAAAATGTTACAAGGGAATTCATTTTCTCTTTAGGAGTATTCTGGGAAATGAAACCATTAGCATGATCTTAAACGGACACATGGTATCAACCGCAATTCAATTTTGGGGCTTAAATGTGCTACAGAGGCAGGCGGTCACTCTGCAGGGACTGGGCAGTGGCTGCGAAGGTAGCGAGAAGGTGGGCCCAGGGGTCATGGCTTCGGTGTGCATCTGTGGCGGCAATGGGGGCAACAGCAAATGGAAGGATGGGCGTGGGTTGGCCCGAGCCGGTTTCTGTTCTCATCACCACCACCTTCTGCTGCAGGGAGGCCACCGGCTCTGGAGACCAAGCCTAGGCTCCGTCCTATGACGGGGATAGCAAGGTCATGAAGCACGGCTCAGCCAGGCGGGTCCCCATCTCCACAAGCTTCCCAGTTACAGACCTGACCCCGTCAGAAGCCAGGCATGACCCCACCACCACCAACTTCGACCCTGGCCACTGAGCATACCCAGGCCTGGTGCACCCTGAGTCTGGTCTTGGTGCCTCATGGCCTTAGGGACTTGCAGGGGTCTTCCCAAGGGCTTCACAGGCAGAAGCATCTCCCCACATGGCGTGTGACTCACTTGTTATTGCCCCATTTGACAGGGAAGACGGAAACTGAGTCACTGAGAGGGTTAGTGACTGCCCAATGACACGCAGCTGGAAAATGCTAGAATCCGCATCCAACCCACAGAGACAGCCTCCAACCCAAGTCACTACCACCACCAACACGGGGCGGCAACCAAGGCCGCCCTCCAGGACGTGGAACCCAGGACCCCGGCCAGATCTCAGGGACGGTGGGCCGCCTCCCAGACGTGGAATCCAGGACCCCGGCCAGATCTCAGGCACGGTGGGCCGCCCTCCCGGACGTGGAACCCAGGACCCCGGCCAGATCTCAGGCACGGTGGGCCGCCCTCCCAGACGTGGAATCCAGGACCCCGGCCAGATCTCAGGCACGGTGGGCCGCCCTCCCGGACGTGGAACCCAGGACCCCGGCCAGATCTCAGGCACGGTGGGCCGCCCTCCCGGACGTGGAACCCAGGACCCCGGCCAGATCTCAGGGACGGTGGGCCGCCCTCCCGGACGTGGAACCCAGGACCCCGGCCAGATCTCAGGCACGGGGGGCCGCCCTCCCGGACGAGGAACCCAGGACCCCGGCCAGATCTCAGGCACGGTGGGCCGCCTCCCAGACGTGGAACCCAGGACCCCGGCCAGATCTCAGGGACGGTGGGCCGCCCTCCCGGACGTGGAACCCAGGACCCCGGCCAGATCTCAGGGACGGTGGGCCGCCCTCCAGGACGTGGAACCCAGGACCCCGGCCAGATCTCAGGGACGGTGGGCTTCCCTTGAGGACCTCCCATGCTGCAGCCACCAGCATGGGATGGGCCTCAAATGTGTGCACCAATGAATCAGCTTCCCATGAGCAGGAGCAGAGAAGGGCCGCACTGGCACGATGCTGTGTCCCTGGGGGGAAGCACGGCTCCAAGCCCCTGCCCTGGCCTGTGGGGAGGCAGCTTTGGTAAGAGATACCAGGCAGGGGTGTGGCTGAGCAAGGCCGAGTCCAGTGCCTTTCAGGGGCCTGGGACACCCAGCTGCTGGGGCAGGGTGGAAGACAGGCAGCTGTGAGTCCCTGAGGCTCCGCCTCATCGTTCCAGGCACGCCTCTGTGCGTACATGGCCACTGCACTGGGCGTTCCCTGATGACATCAGAGTCAACTTCCACAACCCCGAAAGCACGGGCTGGGACATGGTGTTCCCAAGATAGGCAGAGACGCTGTGGCACCCACAGGGCACAGATGGCCTGCGTTCTAGATTTTGGGGGCGGCACCCAGAGACGCAGTGGCCAAAGTGATTTTCTGTCCCGTTGCCGACACTCACTGCCGCTGCCTGGCTTCACGGGGGGCTTTTGCTCCTCCAGGGCCCCAGGTCCTCCTGGGCAGAAGCGTTTTGTAGTCAGTGCTGGGGCTGAGGGTGGCTGACAGGAGCCGGCACTGGCAGGGCCACCTGCGATCCCCACCAACCTTACCAGAAACATGTCAGGCGCACAGACAGAGGAGACGGTGGGGGGCGTGTTCTCTGGGCTGGGGCTGCTGCCGGGGCTCCCGCCCACTCGTTGCTGGACTCAGAAGAGAAGCAGCAGGAACAGTGATAACTGTCCATTGGGATGAGCTAAGACACAGAATGTTCATCTGCACCACAGCCAGCTCGCGGGACACACAGACTCCAAGCCTTCAGTGCGGTGGCTGTGCCTCCTGTGAGAGGGGACCATGGCTGCTGGCACCACGGGCTCATGCAGCCCAGCTTTAAGAGGCTCGGCCGGCAGGGCTGGCAGGGCCTCAGGGCCGCATGCTGAAAGGTTCCCACTCCCTGACCTCTTAGGAGCAAACGTAGCATTTATGTGAAGTCTGCTCTTTCTCATTTTACACGCCCCTCTCTTTAAGATGCCTGGCACTCAAACATCGACCCGGTCCCACTTCCCAGCAGACGGGTGAGGTGCCAGCTGGCCCAGCCCACTCGGAGGCACCCCGTGCCGAGGCGCTCAGTGATGAGTGAATGTCGTTCACCTCGAACAAAGCAGGAAGCAAAGCCTGAACATAAGCTCGGGCTCCAGGCACGCAGCCACAGTTAAGAAACCCCTGACCCTTGTTTCTGGACAATGGCTCACCACAGAGAACCACTGCCCACAGGCCCTGGGAAGGGCCAGCCGGACCCAGTCCTTCACTGTATAGAAGGGAAAGGATGCTGAAGTCGGGTAGCGAGCCTGGGGCCCCTCCCTGCTCCCCAGCCTGAGGCTGGAGACCACAGCTCCGCTATCCCTCCTGGCAACCGGGCCGGGATCTCACAGAACCCGAGAGAGCTGCTCAGGGCCCAGGCAGCCCCAGAAACCCAGGTCCTGCCACATCAGCCACATGGGCTTCGGGCTACGCACACACACTGTGCTGTTTCAGGATGGGGCAGGGTGCATCCTGGCCCTGAGGCCTGCCCTGCAGGCCCCGGATGTGAAGGGATGGGCCACTTCCAGCACTTCCACCAGGCAGCCCCAAGCCCTCTGCATAGGAGCTTCCTGAAGGAAGCAGGAAGCCTGAGGCACTGCCTGCCTTTGTGTCTCTTCCTCCGTCACCATCACCAGAGCAGCCGGGACTTACTGGGGATTCTCCTTCGTCCTGGTCCAGTGCTGGTCTCAGAACGAACAGAGGAATAAAGAGCTGAACACGCCC